CACCTTTAATTTATTAATATTTATAAATGATAATATTTTAAATTTGGTGACACTCGAATTGCCTCCCAAATGTAGGAAGGTACCCTTTTTTTACTCGAATCGCCTCCGGATGTTTTCGGAGGCAATTCGAGTATACCCAAACGGTCTACTCGAATTACCTCCCATAACATACCTGGATTATTAATTATTAATTAATTATAGCTATCGCAGACGATTCCAGTACAAGAGTAGGTAAGTGGTATAATAGTGACCCTCTTAGAAGGCGATTCAAGTGAATAATATTTTTGAAATCGGGAGGCAATTCGAGAGCGCCCTTAAATTTGCCTTAATAAAATATGATAAGAGGCCATCATGATGCATCATATCGTGATCGCTGCGGACTGCGGTCCTTTAGTTGTGTTATCTTCACATATACTTTTCGAATGACTCTATCCTTTGCAGTAAATTCGATCTAATAAGCCATTTTAGGTGAATCCATAAAGAATTTGCAGCATCCATAAATAATAATATCATGCGTTATCCCCCGTGACAACCATAGAGAAAACACTGACGATGGCGCTCGCCAATTTCACTCCATTTTCCGTCGTCGTCCGAGAGGAGGTACTTATACTCTTTCCGTGCGTTTAACACGCCGCGTGATGCGTATACCTCTTCGTATTAAAAAAAAAAAAACGCATATAAATCGCAGTACAAAGAAACGGCGGAACGACAAGCCGCGAATAGAGCTCAAACGGATACGCGTGTTGGAGATATCGCGATATTATGTACAGGTACAATATACCTAATAATAATATTACGTTCGACCGTGGCGAACTGCAATTGTCTGCGAATAACGTATAGTAACAGTGTATAGTACAACAACATTATAATTTATAATGATAATAATATATTGCATTATGGCGTGCGAACGAGAAAAAAATGTATTAATAAGCCACGTCGGATTAGTCGACGACGGTTTTCGTTATTTTTCCACGACCGCCTCCCGCAACTGTATTATATTATATGTTATTATACACCTGCAATATCGCGTAGCGTATAAAAATAATATTGTATAATGGCAGTATAATAGTGCCCGCTGATCTTCGTGGAGGAAGGAAACCCCCTTCGATCGGATTGATACTGAAAAAAAAATACTATTAAAACCATACAAAAACGAATTTACGTTAAAACTATAGTCTTAAGGGGATTGGAAGCGGTTCAACACACACGGGAAATAGGAATTTTGACGTGTTTTCATTCCAAAGTAATGATTCTAGTGAAAAAAATTCGTACAAAAAAGGTAATGGAATATTAACATTTTTGGAGACGTTGAAATCAAAAAATTAAAAACCTGGGAAAATCGATCTCAAGTAGACTTGACGACAAATTAAAATCTGTTTTTAGAATTCTTATCGCTTCGCTCGATCAATTGGTACGTATAAATTAAAATACGTCTAAATTTATATTTGTCAAAGACAGAAAATCACTGCTTCCAATTCCTTTGAATCCGTTGAAACTTAAGACAATTCTTACCATCAAATTAATGATATACCTAATTATTTAAATGTTTAATGTATATGGAGGTATATAACTTTACTGTTTCCTTTATAATTTATGAATTAATTTACCTATAGGCTATATTCATACTTATTTGCTCTAAACGTATTTTTTTGTGAAATAAACACTCGCCCAAACGGTGTACGCCGGTTCATTGCGTCCCAACGAGACGTCAGGTTAACGACATTTTTTCCCCTTTTTTATGTCTGATTGAGTCATATTGTAAAGTGTAGATAAACAGTAAATACTTACTCTATTTAAAATATTATAAAGGAAAGTACAATGATAATGATAATATGAGACTGGGGAAATAAATTAGGCCAAACATTTTTCATAATATTATATCATAATTTATTAGATATAATAATGTAGATATAATCAGTCAAGTAAAGGATTTAACAATTAAAAAATGAATTTCTTTGTCAGTGTTATTAAAATTTAACAATAATGATACAAAAAAATTACATTTAGTATTGAACAAAAGTAGGTAGTTATTATATTTGATCAAGATAATATGATTTTGTTATTTAAAAATTAATAGGTTTTAAGTGAAATACCTAATTGTTATATTTTAAATATGATATTATAATTTTATTGTATAAATTGCTTATTTTTCAATTTTTTTTTTTTTTGGCTTTTAAATTGTTTGCTCTGCGTTTTAACGGTTATTCAATTCTGACTGTCACGCCTGCACACCATATAGACCAAATATAACTTTATACCTTGGTCCAATACAAAACATTACAAACGCACAACATATTATTTTAATTTATATGACTAATAGACGAAATTTAAACACTGAAAATGTATAACTTACATTGAGTCCTAATTATATTTAATTATGTTTAATATCCTAAATAATTGTCTCTGATCCTTGGCTGCAGTAATTATATCTACTGAGTTCCACGACTCTTCCCAATAATCTTATATTTAACTCATTATCCCTGACCAATTACACCTTAACAGTGGTAGACTTAAGAGAAGAATAGCGACCATAGTCTATTATAGTTGTGAGTAATTTGTAAATAATTTATTAGTAACTTATACCGTTATACCAATACTTTTAAACTTTTACACCTATAAGTATACGTACACTAATTATTGTACATTATAATTTATAAAAATACCTTTGTCATTTATACTAATAAAGGTGTATTTTTATAAATATGTGTTGTATTTAGTAGGTATATTTTTATTGAAAAATGTTGTCCCTTCAAAAAAAACAAAACAAAACAAAATCCTTGAATCACCAATGCACCTTTATAATGATGCATTGGTGTTATAAAATTGTAATATATTATATATTATTTTAATCTGCTGCAGCCGTTGGCAATTGGCATAAGTAATGTTTTGCAGTTTCGGTCAAAATATTTAGTCGTTGTCAGAAATTCAATTTAAGAATATTCACATTTGGCGGGAAATGATCGACGGTGTACCTACGCTACAATATTATTATTTTTTTTTAATATTTATTCACCTATTATTATTATTAAAGGTATTGGCCCTCTTCGTGTCGGTTTAAAGACCTAGGTACTAATCGTCCACGTACAAATAAAAACGTCCCCTCCACGATGTACACATGCGTAGGTACAGCTTACGCTGAAATACAATCGATTTTTGTTCTGTTTTTTTTTTTTTAAATTTATTAGACTAACCGTTCTATTAACGAGAACTGTCTGTTTGACATAATACGCATTAATGACTCGTCGACAAGCTTTAAACGGAATAGCGTGAAGAACGGGCACATAATATTATAGGCGTATTATAGAAGAACAATGCTCTTATATATTTTTATGCATCGAAAAAATACACTTTTGATGGGTATACGGTACGTAGATTAGTCGTACTGCTTGGTCATGTCAGAAAATAATAATTTCATGGTCCGGGTTCATATACAGTATAGACGCACGTGCAGTGTCGATGATGACGGCAATGCACGGGGTGATAAATTTTCATCACAATACTAGGAACCATCACTATTCTATAACATACAATATTATAATACAGTCTATACATTTAACGGAATGTGCCACGACCCGATGTAAAATATAAAATCACCATCCTATACGCCGTATATTGTAACGATAATTTACAAAACGTCAAAACGGCAATTTTATGTGTTAGCGTCGGCAGCGGTCGAGATCGTCTCGTACTGGGTGGGTTGCAGCTGCATCAGTGAGAGAAAAAAGGGTTTAAATGTGTATTACGAGGTGAACCGACAATAAATTTGTGCCCGTCTGCCTATATATGCTCGTCACCGTAATGTAATTTTATTGCATATTACCGTAGTCGTCTGTCGATTGTTGTCCATCGAACGGAGTCAAGTGACTGATGATATTATACTCGTCGTGTGTCATATGCGTATACATAATTCAATATTATTCCAAAGATCCAAGGATATAGCATATATATTTATTCATACGCCATAAATTGAGTACACTCGCGGGATTATAGAACGATCGGGTGTGTCCTTTTTTGCCCCCGTATTATTATATAATATAACCATTTAGGAATTAATTTCATAGACTGCGCTGGAAGACAAAACGCAATATTGAATGTCAACCTCGGTCGGTCGGTGGTCACCCTCCTCGTCGTACTTTTACACGCGTAAACGTTCGATCTCTTCAAAACTGCACTATCACTTGAGAACTCGAACCGATATTACTCTTCAATATAATAATATAACATACAGAGACCCGTAAATTTCAGAACAAACGATATAAAAATGAATTTTACAACGAACTAGACTAGAGTATATTATACTCTCACATATCAGACTATAGGCAATAAGTACATATTATTATTATGATATAATGTGTCATATTTTACGAATATTTACGAGTTGACGTATAACAATAATCATAATGATGTAATAAATTATATTGTACACGCGGCAGTCGTACGTTTCGGTTTCGGTCGTCCCGTCGGCGGCAGCACTGCAGGGGTGGCGCTGGTCGGAGGGCAGAAGGAGGTGGTGGGGGGATGCCGCCGTAATCCGGATTAAGGGCGCGTCAGTGGCGGTGGCGGTGTGGGGTACGGTCGTTGCTATATTCCCGGCTAATCTCACCCCCGGACTGCACACTCCACGCCGCGAACCGTTCGCAGTGGCACACAAAGTTTCACCCCGAACGGCACACGATAATCCCTCTGGTCTCCTTCCGCCACTACGCACCCCTACTGCCGCCACCGACTCTCCGCGTCCCCGTCGTCGACAATCCTCATCCACCGCGGCTGCCGGACGGGTTTTTCGACTCTCACCGTGCGCGTGTGTGTGTGTGAACGCGGTCGCGCGTTAGTCTCGGTCGGTCAAACGGGCCGCGTGGTGTACTGTCGTCGTCGTCGTCGTCTTCGTCGTTGTGCGGGGTACAGTGTACGTCGATTCGAAAACGACAGAAATAAAATTAATACCGATATTGTACAAGATCAAGTGCTCCTTATCTGGACACCCAGGAAACCCGGACGAAATGCAAGATCAGCCGACGACGTCAGAGTCGGAGGAACTCGTAACCGGTAAGACCAGCGCGTTTCGTTTCACATTTTGTTTTTTGTATATTGTATATATATTTTTATATTTGATTTAATTTCTTACTACCATGGTCATTTCAACGCAGAAAAGCGGAGAATTTTCGGATTACAATACATTTAGAGGCACCGAATGTTGGTTTTATGACAAATATCAACTTTCAAACTTCATTTTTGAATAATTTGTTTATTAGGTTCTTGTAGGGTTCTTTTAGGTACTTGTAGGTGGACGCTTAAACTTTAAAAATAATGAAGCTTTTCAAAAGACATCGGTTCCTCTGGCAATTATTAAAACACGATCATTGTATAGGCACGCGTATAAAACGCGTGAATAGAACTTTCCAGCGGCAACAAGTGTGCCACGGAGATGTGTTTTCCCCGCTGATTAACGAAACTCATTCAACACCGCCTCCGCGAGGCGACATCAATAATATGAAATTTACACATGCACCTTATACATGATGGTTCACCGCCCACCGGGCATGTACTCTATACAGCAACCATATTTTTCTTTAATACTTATGGGTAACGATTTTGTTCAAATACTGAATTTAGGAAGTTTAAGTATACCTGTACCAATGTTCAAAAACCATCTTTTCAAATATAAATATTTTATAGAATTTTCATGTAATTCAAGTGGTGACGTGGTGTCACGTGGTAGTGATACCTACAAACAATTAAATTACAGTCAACTAGTAATATATTAATTAGATGATTTAAAAATTTTTTTGAAGAATTGTATGTAACTACCTACCTATTATATCAATTTAAATTTAGACCAGTAGTCTCTGAATTAATAAACTATATTATTATGTACTAATAATGATAGTCAATTATATTGTATCGGTGTAATGATAATATGAAAATATAGTAATATTATAATATCAATATTTTACAGTATTATTTATATTATTTGTCAAAACTGAACAATAAGACGTATTATACCTACGACCTACCTTAACCAAAATATATTACATCTATTTTGTTTATTTTTATGAACGAGAATTAAATTATTATCTTTAGCACATAAAGTTCGAAATCTTAGAAATTTCTTTGGATTTCAATTTCGACGCATTAAAAATGTAAAAAAAACTATCTACTCAAGTTGTATAGTAAAATCTAAGCGTTTAAAAGTATTGTAGATATTTTAAAGTAGACAACAAATGTCCAAAAAAAAAACAACAATATTTGAATAACACATTATTTTTAAGGTAAATTAGTGTGTTCACTGAGCATAATATTGATGAATCACCCTATATCTCTTGAACAACAGTCGTCTGTCTAAATAGTAAATTCACGGTTTCCTACTTACGAATCTGCCCCGCAGTACTGTTGTAAATAGGCGAGAAATATTTATAACGATTTTAATATTATTTTTGTGGGTCTCGTTTGATGAAGTATCTTAATACAATATTACTGAAATACTGAATGTCAATCTTCAAAATCTATCAATCTCGCGTCCGTTTCATTAATAGTTTATTAAATGTTGGCTAATTCGATAATAATGCGTACCTAATGGAAAGTTAAAAATTTAAAAATGTCTAATTTTTACCGTAACTATGCTATACGGGATTATCTACAAGGGTTTATAATATAGTAATAGTCGGTATTATAGTCGGGAGGAAGTAGATAACACGCACAGCTTTATCCACAACCCACATAATACAATCACCGCATATTATTATTTTATAATGATATGTATAATATTATAATACTCTGCCGAATATTCGTATAGTTTATTATGTGTTATATTTTAAAGATAAAAAAACCAAGGAAAACAAAATGACCATTTACAAACAAATTGTTTTCATTTTATCTTTTAGTGTTCATATTAACTATCATAGGTATATTTATTTTATATTACACGTGTGGTGGGTATAATATGTATAATATTATGTATATATATAATATTAAATTTCTATTGTTTTTGTGTATAACGTAGCAAGGTGTGTCTAACCTAACCTAATATAGGTGATAAAATATATAACAATATGGTTTCTTGTTGTTATTATTTTTATGTAAAATGGTGTATCTGAAATAAAATTCTTGTAGTAATACGATATACATGGTTTTTCGCTATCGATTTGGAACCTCTCCAAGTTGAACAACTGTCGTGCAATATTATATGCATTATACATTTATATGTATATAAAATGTATATAACTTGTCGTCTATAGTTACGAGTAATTACAACAAATTTAATATTATGTAATCATAGATAGGTACACACATATCTCCAGCAAGTCACAATAAATATGTAATTGATTGGTGTTGAAGATTTAAGGGTTTTGTGAACATAATAATTTTCAATAATTTGAAGACGATCGTTTAACACGCCAATATAGACCCGAAATCAATTGTTGTTACTCGTCCAACATTTCGTGTGAAATAAATTCTGCATTATTTATGAAAATAAACAACGTTAGGGCTGACCCTGTTTCATGTTCTACTTGAAAAACGTAGATTAAATGGACGACTGAGCACAATTTCATGCATAAAGTGATTTTTATTATATTCTTAATTTCAAAAATAAATCGTTTTGATGATAAATTGGGTTTTATCCAAATCCCATGAAATTTTTTTTCGCAATCGTGTATTCCGTTCAATAGTTCTTGCTGGGGGACACTCACGCTATGGCTTCTGTTTTGGCAACGAATGAATACGTGAGTTATTTTCATACAGACGTCAGATCGTTCACAACAATTTTACGCTAAAAAATACTTCCGAAAATTATACATTTTATATCTGTGTGACATATTATTATTTATTACTGTTCGATTATAAGACACGACTACAAAAAACACCAATTTTAATTTCAACGCATTCATCGCAGTATTATCGCTATTGCAGAACGTAATGAATCAAAATCAAAACGTTTGAAACGCCAATAAAATCATATACCATATAAAATATACTAGTAAAATTATACTTCAAGGTAATTTGTATTTGCATCTATATATAATATATTAAAATAATTAATTCAAGTGGCACATGTATGCAAATCCAGCATACTATATTATATTATATTATATATAGGAAATATTGCTTTGGAGAAAAAATGATTAATTATCGGAAAATTCGTTTCTCCATTTATCCCTGACTACACGGCGACGGTCGTAGTTTTGATTTTGGCCCATAATATGCAAGTATAACAAATATCCAATCAATGCAGTATAATATTATAGGTATGATGTAATGAAACGACTTTTGTATGTTCAATACAAGAAAAATTTTACGAGAAAGATATGCATATTATATTATTATGAGAAGGAAATTGTGAAAGATTTATTATAAGTACACAAGATTTCTTTTAATTGCAAACACTGCGTGAAATTAAGATACACCGAATTTGTATATTTTGCGTACCTACCTATTTATTATGCAATATTATGTACCTGTCACTCAGACATGTATAATGTACATATATATTAATATATTTAACCAACCGTCATAAAAACTAGAGAATCGTCCGTGTACACGGAAAAGTATTACTCGACTCGAACAAAAGGACGGACGATATTAAAAGCCCCAAAAGCCGGATAAAGCTAAATGCTCGGGGAAAGCCTGAAAGCCGTGCCTTGGTGTAGCTTAAATAGATGTGGTCTTGCTGACCGAAGGGATTAAGCTCATCCTACCCCCGAGAAGAGAGGTCTTACGGGCCCGCCGAACGTTTCCCCACGGGAGAATATTATCCCTTTGACTTGCCCCACCCCCACCTACCCCAGCCTCTTTACGTTTCTAGACATTTCTCCCTTGCTGCCACACCATCGTACCACATTATATAAGACCTATAGCTCGTTTGACAAACTCTAACCCCCACATATTGTTTTGCGGAACTACGGGAAGGAAATAAAGGATATGCGAAATCGGTATATACGAAATTGATTTCTATCTGACAGACGACGTCTCATAACAAAAATATAGAAAATTCAAAGGCCATGACAGCATTCGAAGGAAATATACTTATTCCAATGTATTATGACGTATAAAATAATATTTAAAAACGTATTTCTATAATATTCTTTACGTTCTAGTAAGGCCAAAGTTTCATCAGCGGTTACAGTTGTGTATATTTTTTCAAGTTCGCTATTTACGTACATGACGTATATTTGCATAAAGAAAATAGTGGAAGATAATACATTAAAATATATCATCAAATATCGCAACTTCACTTTATTATATACGACAATCAAAAATATCATACTATACTTCACTTAATTAACAATCGTCAACGAAATATAAATCGATATTGAAAATAATAAGCGTTGTTTATTTAATGTAGGTACCCATATACTATTGTCTATTATACATAATATATCTTAATTGTATTTAAAAATAAATTTGTTTAGTATATTACAATAATAATGTTTTGTATACTTTCTTAATGTAAGATTTTTTTTTTAACTTAATATATTTTTAAATATTTTATCTATGAGATATTACCACTTTATATAATATCAATAAAGTGGTATAGATAAATAACACTAGCAGCAGTTTAATTTTAATTTAAAAATTACAACTGTGGTACATACAGTTTGTTTTAATATTATGATAAATTCGAAAGAAACTAACGTTCTAACCATTATTCAGTAGAAAAAAAACTCAGTCAAATGTTCCAAATTCTAAACCAGAAAACCTTCAATACATTTTGTCCATCATGCCCCATATTTGATGTATGGTTTAACTGTTTAAGTGATAGATACCGCGTTTCTATACAACTATGGTGAAAATGGTACAGTTCAAAGGTAAATAGATTCCTCCGATTCCGGTTGAAATCACTACGCGATACCGTTTCTGCAGATTTCAAACGTATCGTTCTGGTGATCTCTAACCGTCGCCGACCGCCGTGCAGATATCGCGGCTGACGGTCTGCCGTGCATTTTTGATGTGCAAATTCCGAAGACTGTATTATAGACCTATGTCTTTTTTTGGACATAATATATACTTATTTCGCGCGGTACAGGGTGAGAGGTGGAGAAAAACACGAG